CCATGGACTGCAGTGGTGTTCTTTAATAGGCAGCACTATGCTCACTAGTATAGTAGTTCAGGCCCCTACACTACACTGCTGGTTTTTGTTGCAAATAGAATATTCAAAAAATCAAAAACGATTTTTTTTTATTCCAAACAGTACGTAGGCAATAATCTGAGCAAGAGCTATTGTGATCTCCAGAGTCCTGGTAACGCCTTATGCTGTGCTGCATAGATTCACTTTGTGCACCATACTTGTTACAAACTGTATCCTGAACTATTTTACATGTGTAACTAATGAAGGTATGAAGAGAGATCAGTAACAGCAGAGGAAGAGAGAGATTGAGGTATAGGCAAAGGAGGAAACTTTTTTTTTTTTTTAATTTGAAATGTAAGGCAAGATGGACGGTTGATGTGAGTTGAAGAGATACAGGAAGGTGGTGACAGGAGCTGCAGAGAAGGAAGCTATTGCACTAACAGCGGAGAGATTGTTTGAAGGGGCAAAGAAGAAGGTAGTGCTTAATGAGTAGAGGGAAGGAGCAGAAAGAAGTAAAGACAAATAAGGGCCACGAGGTTTCCTGGAATAAATCCATGGAGGTTTTTTAAAGCCAGGGCAGCCATTTTTAATGGGTTTTGGAAATGAATAGGGGACCCAATGTTTGAAAAAGTCTGGTTGTACTGTTCCTTGTGTGTGAGACCCTCTCTGAATGAGGGAGGCTGGCATATAGTGATTGAATACTTAGAACGCTACTAAACAAGAGCTTGGGTTCTAACATGGTAGTGAAATCGAAGATATTCTGTAGCATTTCAGAGGGGAAAACAAAGAGGGTAGGTTGATTATAGGAGGTTGTAAGAACAAACAAAGGATTATGCAATTGGATCATTCCTGACCGCTATTACTCAGTCAGCGTGTTTACGAACATAGAGAGCCAGTCTTACAGAATCCTTCTGTGATCAGGATTTTCTTGTGTATTAAAGAGTTCATTAATCCCTGAATCTAGTGCAGCATCAGTTTTCCTTTTATAACAACATAGGAACAAACGGCAACTTGACAGCGGTCCAAGTTCTTTTGTAGTTTCTGTGTCACTGTATGGCACTGGTCCTGTAATCACAGCTATGGGAGCAGACCTGGGGCTGCCAGCAGGGGTTGGGCCCTGCTCCCCTTTGGAGACAAACACCAGAGGAGCAGCCACCCAGTGAGTTCCCCACTTTCCAGGGGCAGGCTTCAGCCCTGGGGTGATGAGTGGCAGGCTCCACCGCATGGCAGTGGGCTCTGTCCCCGGGCTCACCACCCCTCCCCATCACCCCTGGCCACCGCTGCCTCCTCCAGCCTTGGGCATTGGCCGCCTGGCGGCAGGTTTTGGCTTCGACCCTGGGCTCCACTGCCTCTTCCCCTCCATTGCCCCAGCCGCCTCCCCTGACTCCTCACACACACACACACACACACACACACACACACACACACACATCGCCCCTGGTCCCCCCTCCTCCCTACCCAGGGCTTAATTTGTCCCCTGGCTTGCTGGGGCTGAGCAAATCTACTGTGAAAATCTGATATTTGTATGCTGGTTAATATCACTTCTCACAGCAGAGTTAGTAGCTAGCTGGGAGGCTGTGAAAAGTTATATTAATAGACAAGTATCACTTTCCACAACAGCAGACTTACTAGCTAGCAAGTCTTAAAAGAAAGAAAAAAGAAAAGAAACCACAACAACAACAAAAAGAAGAATGTGCAAAGCACCTTATTTGTGCTGCTATTCTGTTTAGGTCCAGTAAAGAACAGACACAACTGTGCATTATTTTTACTTTTGAGGCCGCAAAAAACACTACGTAAATGAATTGCAATGATTTGGACCTGCATACATGCATATTTATTTGTTTTTCCTAAAGTTAATTAAGTATTTTAGGAAAAATTGTCAGAGCGGCCACCAGCAAAAGTTGCTAGCTGTACTCTGAGGCCATCAATTTTTTTTTTGCGAGAACCCCATAGCTAGAGAACTAAATCACTAAGCTAGAAGTAGATATGCAATTCCAGTACCTGCTTTTACTACTGTTTGCTGCCAAGCATGAAACTGACAGGTTTAGTGACAGTTTCACTACTGGGCACAGAGTTATGAATAGTTCCATTGAAAGTTTCCACTCTTGTTAATGACAGGTTTCAGAGTAGCAGCCGTGTTAGTCTGTATCCGCAAAAAGAACAGGAGTACTTAGTCTCTAAGGTGCCACAAGTACTCCTGTTCTTTTTACTCTTGTTAATTTCACTTTGCTGCCGCTCAGGAAAGCTGTGAGCAGCAACAGAGGCAATGGAGCTTTCTGGCTACAGACTCAGATGATGTAATTGCTTTATATGCAAACCACATTCAGATTTAAATTGCACCTCTGATCCATTGGGATGCCAAAGTGCTTCATATACTGTACACGGGAATAGCCTCTCTCACCACTAAGATGCAGCAACTGTTTCACAGCACACAGTAACTGTGTACAATAATAGTGGACAGGAAGTGAAGTATAGCCACAGTCCCTTAAGACTATAAGGAGGATGTGAGATTAGCAGCATGTACTATTAATATGAACTGTCCTTTAGCAAAACACCACTGTTTTTATACCTTTTTTTTTTTTTAAAAAAAACCCTGCCATGAGAATTTTCAGGAGAAGAAGTGGTCAGAATTATGGCTAGCATCTTCCTGTCTACAGGATAGTACAGAATACCCCTGTGTCCACAGAAGCAGTAGTATAAAAGAGAACTGATAGAGCAATTTTAAAACCCAAGGTTATTTATAGCATCACAACACACATGCAGTTCCTCAAAGTGTGAAGTGATAAATCCAAGAATATCCACAACATAACAGTAGTTAAAAGTCCAAAAATTATCCACATAAATGAGCTTCACCAGGCCCCTACCTGCTTTAGCCATGGATTCTGCTGTCTTTAACTCTCAACCAAGCAGACATCTCCTCCCTACAACACTTAACAAGGAGAGGAATCTTATTAACCACTCACTTATTCTTTCCAAAGATTTTTCTTTTTCCGTAGTGGCAGCTCGCCTCTTCCATAATCCTTTACTTTCCACTTAGATTTAACGTAAAGGTAAGGGCAAACTTTTGCATATGAGTGGGGTTTTTGTTTGTTTTTGGCTTGGCATGTTTATCTTGGCAAATGAAGGGTTTCAGACCCATTCATCTAGTTAGCTTAAGGATATTTCCAGATCCTCAGTCATTGAAGAGAGTGATAACACATTCTCTTTTTTGCTTTGTAATTATTATAGTCGAAGCAGATGCCCCATGAGTAGATTTCACTTAGTCCTGCAGCAGGTCAGATGGCTCCCTAGAGCACTAGCTATTTAGTATACATGCACACCTCTGACTACTGACTGATATTTTCAACTGTGCTTTGCCTGCTAGTCTGTGATCTGTAACCTTAGATTTCCACCTTTAGCCTCTTTCTCAATTCTTGTCATTCTGGACTCTGGCCAACACCAAGAGTGGCACAATCAGTTTCACAACGGTGTGTCTTTTAAACTGAACGGCTGCCACTATTAAAATTATCTGTGCTACCATAAAATAAGCAGCCTTAAGCATTAGCCATGCCCCAACAAGAAAAGGGTTAAACCTTTAAAAAAAATGGTAGATGAATGCTCTTGCTGTTGTTTTTGCACCGAATACAGTGACATCTTGTGGCAAATTAGGTTAAAGTATTATTTTGTTTTCTCCAGGTCTACCTTTACTCCAGATGCCTTTGAGTGTGGCAGTCTAAATTCAGTCTGGGTTACTTCTTGTGCCCCACTTTCATCTCTATATTTTATCCTTCCAATTTGGTATCAGACACAGATTACAAGAGGATGTAAAACAGACCTCGCCACAGTCCCTGTGGTTTTATTTCTGTAACCTTTCCCAGACTAAGCCCATTGTCTGTTACTGCCCTTTATTTGCAATCTTTCAACCACTTTTCAATTCACAGAAGTCAAATTCAAACAGTGGTTTTCAAACTTTTTTTCTGGGGACCCAGTTGAAGAAAATTGTTGATGCCTGCAACCCAACGGAGCTGGGGCACAGGGATTTGGGGTGCGGAAGGGGGCTGTGGACTGGGGCAGAGGGTTGGAGTGCAGGCTGGGGCTGGGAATGAGGGATTCAGGGTGAGGGAGGGGGCTCTGGGCTGGGGCAGGGGGTTGAGGTGCGGGAGGGGGTCAGGGCTCTGGGATGGGGCCGAGAATGAGGATTTAGGGTGCAGGAAGGGGCTCCGGGTTTGGGGGGGCTCAGGGCTGGGGCAGGGGATTGAGGCGCGGACTTACCTCTGGTGGCTCCCGGTCAGCGGCGCAGCCAGGGTGCTAAGGCAGGCTTCCCGCCTCTCCTGGCACCGTAGACCGCACTGCGCCCCAGAAGCAGCCACAGCAGGTCCGGCTCCTAGGCCGAAGCGTGCAAGTGGCTCCGCGTGTCTCTCACCCACAGGCACCCCCCCTCAGCTCCCATTGGCCGGTTCCCAGCCAATGGGAATGTGGAGCTGGTGCTCGGGGCAGGGGCAACACACGGAGCCCTATTGCCCCCCTGCCTGGAAGCTGGACCCACTGCTGGCCGCTTCTGGGGCGCAGTGCTGTGTCGGAACAGGTAGGCACTAGCCTGCCTTAGGTGGGCAGCACCACCGACGGGACTTTTAACGTCCTAGTCAGTAGTGCTGACCAGAGCCGCTAAGGTCCCTGGGTGCTGAGCAAGGCGACCCAGTGCCTTACATGCCGCGATCCAGTACTGGGTCACGACCCGAACTTTGAAAAACGCTGGGTTAGGAAAGGAAGATTTTCTGAGTCAATGTATCAAATGCTTTACTGAAGTCCAAATGTATTATAATCAGTGTGTTACCCCAATTGACCAAAGAAGTGATGTTGCTGTGGAGTTCATTGACTGACATAATTTAAATGGTGTAAGTTTTGGTGGGATAGGAAGAAATCAGGAACATTTTGTATCATAGGGCTGCATCAAAGTTCTGACATTATTTTCAATCCTCCCTCACTCTCATTCGCAGACCCTACCAAGATGAGATTGAGTCCCTGATTTTTTCGGGGGATCTCCCTAGTACTGCTGCCCTTTACAGAAGACAATGGATTTGGCAAGAACCCAGATGTAGGGATGAAAAGGAACACCGCAATGTGCCTATGGAAACCTGTACCACAGAGCAAGCCTTTTCCATGCGATCGGTTCAAACATGCCTGCAGCATCTGCAGAGGGTTTGTTTATCTTTACGGGGGTCGGTGCAACAGCAGCCTAAGTGACTTCTGGCGGTACAATATAGGTAAGCCTGTCCCTCCACTGTATGACTGGATGCAGAGTCACACATGGATCCTTGTGAAATCGGAGCCACTCCATGGCATAAGAAGTCTCTAGGCCACCGGCTCCCAAACTTTAATGGTTCACCTGCTACCTTCTTAAATTGTAAAGCGAATAGATGGAATATCAAGTTCACATTCCACAGTTTGGGAATGGCAGGATTTGCCATATTGATCCATCGAAGCTGGTATTCTGCTTCTTGCAAGTGCCAGCGCTGAATGGTTGTGGCGTAGGTGAAAAGCCCATAATGCACCTAGATAATTATGCAATGCGGTGCACATATGTTCCTGTTGTCATTACACACCGAAGCATGGGATTTGTTTTCCCTGAGTTATTTTAAGCCAAAAATAATGCTTTCCTTAAAATACTCTGATTCAAGTTACATATTAAAAATACAGACAATGACTGCAACATTTTAGTACAGAAACAGAAATAGCTGGATATTGTAAGGCTGAATCATCAAATTTGCAATTTCCATTACAAAGAAATTAAAACAAACACTTTTTTTGTGAAGTTCATTTAACACCTCAGTGTTTTGGGCTCCCCATTCTGGCCCAGATAGTATCAGTTAACTAGCATGAATCCCAATGTTATGCTGAAATTGATGCTTGTGGGATACCAAAGCTTTGTTGTACAATATATAAAAAACAGTAACAATTTTAACTCTGTTCAAACCAAGAAAGAGATAAAATTGTTTGCCAAATAGAAAAGTACAAACCTATTTTGTGGGAGGAACTAATTCAACCTTCCATGCTAATAGAAAAAAAAATGGAGAATGATCAATCCAGTTAAAGTTGTTTACATTTTCACCTTCCCACACCAGTCAAGGGGAAAACTGTGTTTGATCCCAATATCAATCTTGGCTCATTTTGGAAGTGCAGGCAGAACCAAAGACGCCTCCTTCAAAGCATCTCATTTTCACCCTACTGCTGACTTCCATGTGGTTTGTGTGTATCCATTTTAGCTCCCCTTTTGTTTCCTAGCAAGCAACAAATGGGAAAAACTGGATTGTTCAGAAGATGGCCCAGAAGAACTGGAAGAACATTCAATGGTGGCTTATCAGGTGAGTTTAAATTAGTCCTGCTCCTAATAGATGTTTTTCTTTGGTGCTGTGGCACAAACTGTTGAGGAGTGTTGCTGTGCCCTGTGAAATAGTTGTCACCTTCCCCCCCAGATGTGGCTGCATTTCAGTGGTGATATCTGTATGTCGTTTGTAAAATGTTTTGATAAAGGTGATAAATAAGAATTACTATATTATCACTAACTGTATCACTGGATGATTTTTTTTTGCTACCCTTATACAGCACTCAAATAATAAAAAAAATTGCTTAGTCGCACTCCTGTTCACTGGTTAAGATTGGCTGTGCATTTGGGGTTCTTTATTTGGTGATGGGGGCTTTGTCCTTTTAAAATTATTTTTAGATTTTTGTACTGCACTTGGCCGCCTCTGGGTGATACACGAATATCATTGTGCTTGCAGGGCATCCTCTATATTTTCGGTGGGATGTTGGATTCTGCTTTTACACAGGCGAAGATCCCTCTCTGGATGTATGACATTGGTATGGAACAAGATAACCAGTTTGCTTCCAAGAGGCAACAAAACAGGCTTGCTCAAATACACAGTAATTCCACAGAGGGTAATAAATAGTAAGGGCCCAGTTGTGTCCTCTGATGTACGTGTACGTACACATGCTCACATTTCCCTTTGGCTTCATTGGGAGTTTTACACGCAAAACCACAGATAGATTTTGTCTTAAAAATTAGGCTGTGAAACTGCCAAACAATCAATTTTCCTTTCCACTGGGAAATATTTTGTAGCAACATTTCTGTACTCAAGGTTTTCAGCATTTTCATTAGACTCCTTACTTTTAGAGTTTTATAAGTTGATCTTTAAAAAGTTCTTTAGCAGTGAAATAGCAGGCTTAGAGATGAGGGGATTTTTTTTCTCAGTTACGTCCAATGGTAAAGAAAACACAAGTTTTTGTCTATTATGGGAGAAAAATACTAACATATTTTGCATTCTGAGAAACACATAGAAAGGCTGGCACTAGGGCCTTGTCTACACTACGGGGGTAAGTCGACCTAAGTTAAGTCGATGTAGCTTAGGTCAGCTTATGGTGGTGTCTACACCGCGCTGCGTCGACGGGAGACGCTCTTCCGTCAACTTACCTTACGCTTCTTGTTCCGGTGGAGTACTGGAGTCGACGGGAGAGTGATCTGCGGTCGATTTAGCAGGTATTCACTAGACCTGCTAAATCAACCCCCGGTGCATCGATCGCAGCAGCGTCGAACCCCGGTAAGTGTAGACATGCCCTAAAAAGGTCAAATAAAGTAGAAAACTACTTGAGATGAAGAAAAGGGAAAAATGAAAACTGCATTTCTTAAAATTTTTCCTGACTGTCTTGAAAGACCAAATTTTTGTTTATCAGTGATTTAGCTCTAATAAAGGCAATGGGACATTAATATTATAGCCAATAATATTTTACATATTTTCCCTGGGAAATATTACAGTATTTAATTTTATATGCTGTTAAATAATTTACTATTAATAGTTCAATGTAACATTACATAAGCGTAATATATATATTTTCCCACGAGGGGCAGTATGGCTAGTGGCTAGAGGCGAAAACTGGGAGTGAAGCCCCCTTGCTACTATTCTCTTCTGATTTCACTATGTGATCTTAGGCAAGTTCTTGCCTATCTCTGCCCCAATTTCCCATCATGTAAAGTAGAAATACTCACTCATCTGCCTGAATTAATGAATGTTGAGATCCTCGGATGAAAACTCCTATCAAAGTGTAAAGCATCACATGAAATAGGCTTCCCTGCGTCATAGTACTAAATTGCCCATCAGTAAAAATTGGACTCTATAGAGTATCAGTTAAAGGTTGACTTTTTTTAAATTCCCCTTATTAAAAATATTCACTACCAAGATCTCAAGGTAAATGGAACTTTTGCACATGTAGACTACATTACGATGTTACAAAAGAAGAGCATTCCCCAACAGAAAACACAAACTTTTAAAGTATAACATACAGAATAGCCGATGGTGATATTTACATTGAGAAACCTTGGTATAGGAAGTAGGGTGACCAGAAAGCAAATGTGAAAAATCGGGACCGGGGTGGAGGGGTAATAGGAGCCTATACAAGAAAAAGACCCAAAAATCGGGACTGTCCCTATAAATCGGGAGGTCTATAATACAGTCTAATATTTTCTTAGCTCAGAGTATGAAAAGACAACTAAGATAAAGGCGATTACAATATGCCCTTTGGTAGCTCACGATACTGCTATGTTAGTGTTATGTGTTTCATCCTTGCTATATGGTAAATACACCAGGATGCCACTTTTAAATTGCTATTCAAATTTTTTTTTTTTTTTAAGAAACAGTGTCCTCTTGTGGTCTTAGATATAAACTACACTTTGTTAAAATCCTTTTAGATTCAGCGAGATGGACTGAGTGCAGGCACACAGCAGTGGAGATTGAGGTAAGGGGAGCCAGAGAATGCGTGAATCAAATGCAGGTTGATTGCTTTAAAATGGGTTCCCCAAAACAGTTCCAGTCTAGACTCCTCAGGGATATGTTGCTGTAAAGTATACTGCTTTCTTTCCCTTCAATTTTAATAGCTGAGGTTTCCCCCTTCTGAAAAACTGGGATACTACCTACCTTTGCAAAACACTTTGATCCTAGGATGTAAATGCTGAATGTTATTACCTCTACTGTTCTTTTAAAACACTTCAATCAAGAGGGCCAATATTAAGCCTGGGTTGCCACTTTACAAGAGGCTTATTCTCTTAAAACTAGGATTGTTTAAAAATATTGACGATATTCATAAACCTCAAAGTTTGATATGCACTGTTTTCACAAAAATCTAGCAATTTTTTCATTTCTTCAGTCTAAATTAGAGACTTATTTGGATGAAAGTGAATCAGTACACACAAAAACAAAAAACCCACTCCTGTTTTTGAATAAAAACCTCAAAATGTAAATGTTGACTTTTTGTTCAGCTATGGGATCAGTTTTCACATCAGCACATCTGAAGATTTGAACTTTCATGTTTCTGTACAAAAATTCATATTTCATAAAATTCGGAAAATGGAATCACCCAAATCAAAATGGCTAAGATTTTCACCCAGATATCACTAGATTTTCTTTTCTTAATTGGGGGCAGAAAGTGGTGCTGAGATAAACCTACATAAATCCAGGATGTCTATATGTCAAAGTTTGTTAAAGTGATTTTTCATTTCATTACTAAAATGTTTTCAGAGCACTGCTCCAGCTAACAGAAAGGGCCACAGCGCAGTAGTGTACAATTCCAGCATGTACATCTATGGGGGATACTTCGACATCAAAGGGATTTCACAAGAGTTTTGGGCTTTACGTTTTGGTAAGTTAAAGCTTCTCTTAGGATCTGATCCAACGCCCAGTAAAGTTAATGGAGAGCCTCCATCATGACTTCAGTGGGATGTGGATCGGCCTCTTAAGAAACCCTTTATCAACAGGGATGGTATAGAAACCTGTGTAAATCCTCAGATTTTGCTATGGTGGGCAGAATTTAATCCTTCATTTTAAAAAGTTTTTTCCCCCCTCACACTCTGATTGCAGAGAACACCCATTTTAGGCTGGAATTAATGCTAGCAGGGCAACGTAGTTCTCAAGGAGTCTGCCTGTTCTGCACTAGTCCTTTGGGCTGAGGTCTCCAACACAATTTCAGAGAGTCCACTGTACAGAGATCAGCTGATAGCTTTTGCTGTCTACTGTCATATTTTTCAAGTTTTCAAACAGGACTACTAAAAACCTTAAGCCTCAGCTACAATGGTGATCTTCCCTGATTCCACGATTCAGTGGTCACTCTCCACTATAACTGCACTCATTCAAACCTCTCATGTAGACTGGGTAAGTTGCAATTTGCATTGGTGCATCTTATCCCTGTTTCAGTGGCTTTGCCTGTCTACATTAGGGGTTTGTAGAGGTGCAGCAATACCAATGGCTTGTTACTGGTGTTAATATTCAGGGCAAGGCCTCAATGCTTGTTAGAAGTGAACCCTTATCTACATCCTCAAACATCCACTCTGTAAACAGAATTCAATTCCCGAATTAGAACCCTACTTTTAATCTGCCACCCTTTACCGTAAATTGGTGCTATTGCAACTGGCTTTTCAACTGGAGTCTTAAACTGCAAAGGAAGACAGCTATTCTCAGTCATGTGTCTAAAAGCTGTTCAACAGACAGGGTCTGCTCTGACAAAGTGTGTTTTACTGCAGAATTTTAAGCATCTCTAATTGCTCGGACTCAGTATAAAATACCATAGGGACCAAAATCCTGCATTGGCAGGGGATGGTTTCATCTGCATATTTCATCACCAGTCTCTATTATCCTGGTTTGCAAACCAGAAAATCCCAGGCTCAGAGTGACTGAAAGCATGCGTCATCTAATGGCTGTTCAATGGCTTGTTTGGAATGAATTGGTGTATCTGTATCATCCTGGGTTCCTCCTATCCATTGCCAGCAGAGGCACTAATGAGTAAGTGTGCATGATGACTGATGTACCTTCTCATCCCTGGAGAGCAAAGCAGTCTTTCCAGCTCAGAGTTGAAGTGCAGAGCAGGGCAGGGCAGTGTTAGAAAGCCTGCAGTACTTGCTCTGTAAATAAATGCCTCCAGTCTCCAGGGTTGCCCATCTGGAACTTTCATTAACACTTACACTTCAAAATAGGTTTTGGGTTTTTTTAACCACTATACTTTAGATTTCATATATTACCATGGCATCTCATGCCGGATTAACTTTAGGGAATGGAGAGGAAATGAAACTATCCTCATAGCTACATGTTGCTTTGTTCTTTAAATACGGTTTTTCTCACTTATCAAACATTTTTGATATCTCTGTAATGTTACCTTTTGCTTTCAGATACAGGAGAGTGGTCACAGGTATCTCCATTGTCTTGTGACGCTGGTCCAGGACCCCGGCATGGTCACTCAGCTGTGGTTTACGGCACGGGCATGTACCTGTTCGGAGGACTGATGGGGCTGAGTGAACAGAGGGACCTATGGAAGTGGGACTTTACAAGCTGCAAGTGGTCCACTATCAGAACAAGGTAAACCTCGTTCATTGTCATACTAAATAAATTAGCGAGAGAAGAGTGAGGCCCCACCCATGGCACTGTATCCAGGCAAACGGCGCTTAAAGTAGTGGAAGTATTTGAATCTTTGAAAATTAGACAGAGGACTAAGGAATAGAACACCTGGAACAATTGTTCACCCTTGTAACACACAAGAAAATCTTTGCAATTTCTATGATTTCTTAGGGATTTAAGCTAACTGCATTGGATCAGGTTTCACTGTTCCTTGGATTTGAGTTTGAGACACAGGGAAATACAGCAAGGATGGAAATGGTGTGGCTTCTGGTTGCCCTTATCTTTAACAGGAAGAGGCAGGCTGCAGAGACTACTGGGCCCAGGGTGGGATGTTGCGATTTTAATCGAAGTAAAAACTGTCCAGATTGAGAGGGAGCATTGCATCCTGGGACCTCTTGTCTCTGTGGATCACCCTTCCATATAAAGATGAAGGTGGCTGCAGTCTGCTGCATTTTATGTCAGGAAAATATCCTTGATCTTTGGGCAAGTTGGCAAGGCAGCTCTTAGCTGGACAAAGTTTTGATGCCCCAGGGCAGGCAGAAGTGTTATGACCATTTTCTTTTCCAACTGAAATAATGAATATTCTTGTTGTTCTTATAAGCACTAAATGTTGCCTGTCCTTGTGTTTAGCCAACGTCCTCCAAAAGTGGTGGGACACTCTTCTGTGGTCTTTCAAGACTCCATGCTGACTTTTGGCGGAGGGATTTCAAACTCTAGGCCTAACAACAGCCTGTGGAAGTACCATTTCAGTTCCCAGATATGGGAAAAACTGGCTAGTACAACAGAGGTAATTCTTTCTTCTAAAAGGTATCACCGCATCCTGGGAATTGGTGTTGGTTTCCAACTGACGCCAGGTTTCTCTGGGGTATCCCCCATCAATCACTGGTGTCCAAAGGGGAAAGAGCCTCAAAAGTTGGCGGCGGTCTCAAAGCAGCGTGCCCATTTTCATGGCTACTTTCGCCAGCAGCCTGTACACCAACCATTCAGCAACGACGATGGCAACGAGATAGAAATGAAAACCTTTAGCCAGCCTCTGGAGCCATTGGGCTTTTGCTCATTCCAAACCTCTTCAGAGGCAGAACTGTGCGCAGACAAAGCACAGAGCATATTTTCCAAAAATGAGCATCTCTCCCACCTCATCGCTTCCCAAGAACAAACTCTCACTGCCGCTGAAGTTACAAAAAACAGGAGAGGAACTGACTGTCAGCCTGAGACACCTAGGAGCATGGCAGTTACCAACCATCCTGATATGCTGTTCCTGATTGGGGGCAAGCCCCTGTCCAGTCTCTGTGAAATCTCACTCTGGCAAATGGAGCTGAACAGCATTTAAATGACATACACATAAGAAGGGAGAAGAGAGCCATTCCCACCTGCTTCTCAGCAGAACTAACCAGGAAGTATTATATTCAGTGGCCTACTGCACATTCTGGGTGAAAAACAGTCTTCCTAATAACTGACCTGAACTTCTTTTTATACAGTGTTGGTTCATGAAGATTATTTGGCAAGCTGTGTATGTGTTCAAAAAGAAAGTGAGGAGAGCCCAGAGAGGGAGAAGAGAGAGAGCTTGCTGCAGAGGAAGACTTGGAAATTGTTAATAAAGAATCTGCCTGTTTATTTCTACTGTGTTCAGGGAAACAGGACTTTGTGTTCAGTCTCTGTAATGAAACAAGATTGCACCAAAAAATATTCCTGACTCATATTACCAATTTATCCTTCTAACTGAAACAAACCTCCAAGGTCCTGAATATTGGCTAATTGTCTGGGCCAAGTGGGCAGCAGTATTATGCTATTTAAATGGAAGATTTTGGGGTTTTGGAAATAGAGACAGACCAGCATACAGCAGCCATAAAATGAGCAAATGAGGTCTTGAGTTGTATTAACACAGGGACTGACGATAACACCAAAGGAGTTATACTGTTAGGCCCTGGTGATACTTAGACCCTCGTTGAATACTTTGTGATGCACTGATCACCATCCTGCAGGAAGTATATGTGGCCCTGGGGAAGGTATAACATAGTGCTGCAAGATAGATCCTAGGACCAAGGACATGATAAAAGGCTTGGACATTTTCTTACTGGAAAAAGAGAGAGCTTTTAAGTGAGCTTTTTGGTTCAACAAAACTGACTGAGAAACTGTTCATGCTGACAGAGCTCAAAAATTGGGGCCAGAGTCAAGGGGAAATGCCACTTCCTTTTTAATTTCTGCTTTAATCCTTCAGCTCTGTCATTTTTAAAAAACTGTTTTCACATACCTTAAAATAGCAAAGTGCATATCACACATTTCCCTTCTACAGCGAGTGCAAAGAAAAGAAAAAAAGCATCTCCATAGAACTCAGTAGTGGCTCTCCTGCAAATGCTGGGAAAAGTTGAAAGGTAAAAGTGCTGAATGTACAAGCTATTGCAAAAATTTTTTGCCAGATGCTGCCATCTCATGGCCTGAACCTGACGAGTTTGGAGCACCCTCAATTGCCACTGAAGTCAAAGGCGACTAGGGATATTCAGCACTTTTCAGGAGATTCAGTACCTGGCAAGTTCAGGCTATTTTTCTCAATTTCATGATGTTTTTAATAATGTATTTTTATGACCCCTGAATGTGCAACTTGTAACGAAGGCCAAATGTAGCATAAATGAATGAGGTGCAGATATATGGCAAAAGTGTTTGGGCCCTCATTTTATTTAGGATTTATTTTAGCATGTTTAAAAAAATCCCCCTCCATCTAGTTTCATTAACTAGATGTATCACTTTTTAAAATACTGTCACAAAACTTCTGCATTTATATCATGTATTTGTCAGCCTAGCCCACAGAGCTATTTGATATTTCCATATAAATTAACTACAGAGTTATTTAACTTAATGGTTAATCTTTAGCTTCTCTTATTACTGAAGTCAAACTTTTAATGATACTGGTAGCAGTGTTATTTTAATACCAGGTACTTAATCCAAATACTGGGTTGGAGGAGGGTAATAAGTTGAGTAACCAGGAATTATTTCAGGTTGCTGTGAAGGGAGCTGAGATGTACATTAATTCCTACATCTGGAAAAGGAACAGTTCTAACTACACCATCAGAGTACAGGAGAACCTCAGAGTTACAAATACCTCGGGAATGGAAGTTGTTTGTAACTCTGAACAAAACGTTATGGCTGTTCTTTCAAAAGTTTACAACTGAACAATGACTTAATACAACTTTGAAACTTTACTATGCAGAAGACAAATGCTGCTTTCCCCTTATGTTTTTAGTAGTTTATGTTTAACAGAATACTGTACTTGCTTTTTTTTGTCTGCTGTTGCCTGAGTATGTTCTTTCCAAACGAGGCATTTGGTTGAGAGGTCTGTTCGTAACGGAGGTTCTACTGTACTAAGCCTGCATTACTTTTCTACACTCTAATTCATGATTTTCTATAAAGGGGTTTCTAGTCTCAATCACGGACTTATTTTTACACATTCTAAACATCAAACAAGGAATTTACCTCTTTTGACACAGACACATTTCCAACCACTGATTAGACGGTGGAGGTTCCAGGAGCCTCTAGGATTGCCTAGACCCACAAAACAGTCTCAAGTCTTCAGTAGAAATGTATATATGTGCTATCTTTTGGGCTGGTGTGAAGTGACTGGTTACAGTGCAGGCTCTGACTGAACCCAGCTCCCTAACAATTGGGCTCAGTGACATCAGAGTTAAGCATAGGCAGAGCCCACTAATCTTAAATCAGATGCATGTTTTTCCCTGACTTACTGATGGGTCTGTTTTTGTGTCAGCCAGAGTGAGCTGTATGGACCATATTGACTTTTATCTTCTCTAGGATTGACTGGGGAGGGAAGGGGTATGTAGCTGCAAAGGGCAGCTGTAGATCACCCCTAGATGCCAGCAGAGACTGTTCATTCGCTGGCTGTCTTGCTTCTAAATCTTTAAAATCAAATGTGATTTGATACTGGAAGGGAGGTTTTGAAATTCAAAGAGATCAGCCTTGGGTGTCACAATCCCTTACAGACAGGAGCTCTCCTCTGCGGGGGCACGAGTGCCTTTTTGCCATGAATGTTTGTATTCCTAGCCTGCTGCCATAGCAAGCGGCAAGCAGCTTGAACTGAGCCCTCAGTGAGCAATATTTGCTTTCAGCACTGCATTACTATCAACTGGAGCAGCTTGCATTGCAGTGCTTTAGTAACAGTGACTGTAGTTAATGGCTGCGGTAATGTTTTCCAGAAACCTTGAATAGCGTCACCCTTCCCCTTGCTTGTTACCTAGTAAGATTTTTAATGAAAATGTTTATTTCTAAAAGGAGGGGAAAAGTTAGCCGACTTGAACAAAACGCTCCATAACCCCGTTACAGCTGCTCACCCTATCTATATATGCGTTTGGCAAGGATTCAGGAATTGTCATTAGTTTAACTCTGGCCCAAGTTAGTAATGACCAAAAGTCATTACCATCTGGTGGCACTGCAGTGGTCTGTGTGAAATAATCAGTGGATTAGCTCCAGTTAGTAGCTATCACCACCATTAGCATCTTTGTTGGCAAGTCGGGTGAAGGGACTCATTTCTCCACTAGAGCTGCTCACTTAAGCACCGGGAGCAGGCCAGCGTGGCAGAAGCTTGCACTGCTGCCATCTGTCCTGTACCTCTTCACTGCCTAAACATACTATTTTCCAATGCTTGAAACATTTCATAAGCAGTACACTCACTTTATAAAGTGAAAGGGTATAACCAGGCTATTTGTATTAACCTGTTCTGGAACTGCAAATGTATTGTTATAGCTTGAAAAGTGAGACTATTTTAAAGTCTAGTATATTTATAGAATTAAGATCTAAGACCAAATCTGTCCTTATTGATTTAATAACTTTTTGTAAGACACGGGAAATCTACATTAGGTCAGAATAGTCTGATTCTTCGTTTACCATTGGCTACTTCTGAGCAACAGAAGAAACTGTGTATCAATATCGAGGGTGGGGCAGTTAGCTGCAAAATGGACATTTTATTGTGAATGATAAGAGGCAAAAGTAAATTTACGTTTTCTAATTCAATAAAAATATGTTAAGTCAACCTGTTTCATGATTTTGTTATAAACTTTAGAAGCAGGTTTGAAAAATATAGTTGAGTTAGAGGACATGGAAACTTTGTAGCTTTTGCTAGAGCTCTTCACTTCCTTCTGATTTAACCCACTCTTCCCTTTAGTTACATGGCTAAAGGACAATTTTGACCTGCTCAGCTCTCACATTTTTCCAGTAAGGGGTAAGCAGAAGCGCCTTCTTGGGAGTCATGTTCTTAAATGGATGCAGCTGTGAAAGGGGGAGAGAGCGCGAGCAAAAAATAATCCCATTTATTTTGACACTTTCCTGAATTTAATTAGCAATAATTGGCCTATGTTTGTTTGTCTACAAACAGGTCTTCCAGCCCCCCAAGTCCCTCCCCCCCCTTTTTTTGACATCTCCAAGTCTTTACCTTGGGCTAAGGAACTAGTAATAAAAAAAGAGATATTATAAACCTCCAACTAAGCTGTACATTTAGGGACTGTGATGGGGTGTTTAGCGCACACAAGACTGGAAGGGGTTAAGATGGCCAGGTGGGCTAATGAATTCCACAGGCTGCACCTGGAGGAGGAGCCAGGGAATTGACTGGGAGCAGACTCAGTAGGACAGAAACAGGAGGGGCTTGTATAAAGCCCAGGAGCTAGCAATAGAAAGGGGCAGCAGGCACTCCCTGGGAAGAGGGAGTTGGGAGGCTGGTGAACCCAGAGAGGGGGAAGCCAGGAAGGTAGGAGAGGCTCAGGGGGGAAGCAGCAAAGCAGGGCCCTGCAGGCCTTGGCTGCTGACGGAAGGGCCCCTGAGCTGGAGCAGAGGTAGGCCCAGGTTCCTCTACCAGCCACTAGGGATGTGGCATCAACAGGCAGAGGACAATGGACTGCCTGATACATTGTGGAAAGACTTTGGGTAATACCCCCACTCCCCCCAGAAGAGGCAAACACACCGTGACCTGGCTGGAGGGATGAGTCACGAAGAGGAGGGTCCGCAGGGTGAGAGGATGCCGGGAGGGACACTGCCTGAGGAGAGTACAACACCAGGAGGAAGCACCACCAGCAGTGAGTGCACCCTGTGACAGAGGTTTCAAATGTGTTCAAGCTCCCATTTACACACTTAAATAGCCAGTTTTTCACAAATGTTTTGCCAATAGGCTCCATTAAAAAATCTGGCACTTAATACTCTGAGTTATCCACGTTTTAATATATCTTACTTAAATTGCATTTTAGTTTTAGTCACAAACGGTCACAGACAAGTCTGTGATGGGGGTCAGAGTCTTAACTTATTTAGCCGAGTACGGGTTAAAAGTCTTTCCATGAACAGAGTATCTTCAGCAACACTATTTCAAGCAAGGGGCTGCCAACAAACCTAAACATTTGGGGAGAAACATGTGGCTTGTATTGGCTGGGGCTAAAGCTTTATTATAGATGATACATGAACTATAACAAGGACAGAGTGTTTGACAGTCACACCGTTTACCTGCAAAAAGCCCCTTTGCTTTGGTTTCACTGGAGCAGTCTTTTGATCTCTGATGGTTAATTTCCTACACCGACTCTTGGCGAGCCGGTCCTGCTAAAGTCCCATTCGCTGCCTTACAATTCTGTGGAAGTGACGTTCGAAAGAAAGATGACTCTGGGAGACCGTTTTGCACAGATGTGGTATATTTAAGAGAAAACGACAATAAAAACAATTCACAATTGATTCTGAGTGGACTACAAATCACAGTTCTTGTTCCCATGTACAGACTCAATACGAAGCTCAGTGCAGTGCCTCTAATACAGTTTATACATTGGCTATCGTCGTGAAGCAGGAGGGTGAACTTTATAAAAAACAAACAAATAAATTATACGTTGAGCTATTGTCAAGCTTTACATATAAAACGTAAAAAGACAGGAGCGAGTGTGATTAACAAAACTCTCCAGCTAAACAATATTCTTGCCTACTTTGAAATACATTTGTCCAGTTAAGTGTAATTAGTTGTGTGTGTGTAGGAGGAAACCAGAGAAGTGAAGTGCTCAGCCAGAAAGTAAAATGGCTGGGAACGTCACAGAAGACTCCTACCTTCCTCCCGCATTGTGCAATACCCGCTCCCTACCGCGAACAGTTCCATGGGGCTTCAGCATTTGAGCTGAAGGGGAACATCCTGATGCCCAGTGTCAAATGCTAATGCCGAGTGCTCCAGATCACAGGTCTCAAATGCAGACTCTTCAAACTGCCTGGATTTCGCTCTCTAATCATAAAAACCTAGTGTGCTTATAAAAGTCATTTAATTTTAATGCATTGGAGTAGGGGGCCTGCAATATTTCTAAAGTCCTAAGAAAGATTCAGGTAGAAGGAGGACTGCTCTGGGCCAGAAAACAACTCCCAGAGCTTAGC